TGATATTGTTACTTTGGATTAGAATAGACTTATTCTTGTTTTTTTTTTTTTTTTGTCAATGTTCAAATTAAAAATTCTACAACAAAACACGCGGAAAAGCAATTTGGTTAATAATGAAATAAGGGAATTTATTTCTAAAGAAAAATATGATATGATTATAGTTCAAGAACCATATAGTATAAATAATGAAGTAATCTTTAATATGCGTTCAAAAATATATTATGCAAATATACCGGGAGTTCCAATATATACCGCAACAATCGTTACAAACCCTTTCTTATCATGTAAATTAATTAAAGAGTTTTCAAATTCATTTGCAACCACTATATCAGTACAAACTACTAAACGGCAAATTATTCTTTCAAATATTTATATACACCCTAATAAAATGGATACCTGTCATGTTCAATTCCTTGATAAATTAATTAAAAATTTTAACACAAATCCATTGATTTTAGCTGGAGATTTTAATGCTCGAAGTCAGATGTGGTTTGATAATATTATTAATCAAAACGGTAGAAGACTTCAACCTATAATTGATTTTCACAATATGCTCATACATAACAATCGAAACAAAACATGTCGAGGATTAAGTATAATAGACCTTACTATTACTAATAGTCATGCTCATGTACTTGTTAATGGATGGAAAACGTTAAATCTTTCGCAAATCACAGACCATCACGCAATCTCATTCGACATTAGTCTGGAAACAGAAAGTTTATTACATGAAAATAATTCTACATGGTATTTTCAAGAAAAAAGAACCAATTGGCAAAAATATGAGCAGGCAATCAATGTGTCTAGGATAAATGAGGCAATGATGAAATTAGGTAAAATAGTAAATATAAACGATATAAACTGTGTAGTTTCTCTCATAACTGACATATTAATTGAAGCTGCATATGCATCTCTACGATTAAAACCAAAATATTTAAATAATAATCCATTTAATTGGTGGACGGATGAACTGGAACTTTTTAAAAATCATTTTAAATATGTTCGAAATCTATATTATCGGGGTAAACGGTCTAATAGACAGCTAGTTGATGAAAAAATGTATAAAGAAATACGAAATAAGTATATGAATATTATTGAAAAAACAAGAAATGTAAGCTGGAGGGTATTCCTGGAGGAAGTTGAAAATACATCTCCTTTTGGTAATACTTACAAAACTTTTAAACAAAAAATTTCTCCTAGGTCTTTTGATTTACCAATTCTAGATGTATCTCAAGATGTGCTCGAATCAGAAATGAAAAATCTTTTATCTTCTCTATTTCCGAATGACTGTCAATCTTCTGACACAAACTATCATAAATTAATCAGAGACAAGAGTTATACTTTTTCTAATGATAAAATCATTTATTTTGATAATATTCAAATCTGTTCAATAATTAAAAAACTTAAAAATGGCAAGGCTCCAGGAATAGATTATATAAGCAATCAGATGATCAAAACGGCAGTTCATCATATATCTCCTGTGTTAACAAAATTGTTCAATGCTTGTATGGGACTTAATTATTATCCGGAGGCCTGGAGAAAGTCAGCAGTAATGATTATAAAAAAACCTAATAAAGAAAATTATAAAGATCCGAAAGCCTACCGCCCTATAAGCTTGTCTTCTAATTTAGGTAAAATTTTTGAAAGTCTAATTCATATTGAACTTTTAAATCATATTAATAGTAATAATGTTATGCATCCTGCTCAACATGGATTTACACAAGAAAAATCAACAATCTCTGCTTTACAAGAAATAACTAAATTAAGTCTGCTGAAAAGAGAAACAGAAAATACGGCAATAGTAACAGTGGACATCAGCGGAGCTTTCGACAACGCATGGCATCCGGCAATTCTCCAACAATTGGACAAGGCAAATTTTCCAGCGGTACTTATAAAAATAATTAATTCTTACTTTGAAGACCGGAGTGTAGAGTTTAAATATACTAATGTAAAGTGTATAAAAAAGATAAATAAGGGATGTCCCCAGGGTGGTATTATTTCTCCTATTCTTTGGAATATATTACTTAATGATTTCAACTTATCTTTTAACGAAAGTTTTGCTAGAGTAATTGCTTTCGCGGACGATGTGACATTTGTGGTATGGAGTTCAAACATCTATGATCTTCAGTTTAATATTACCAAATGTTTAATAAAAATCAAAGCATGGTGTGAAAAGGTAAAACTTTCACTAAGTCCAAACAAAACAGGTATACTCTATTTACATAACTATGAAAAATTGCCCATTAATTTTGATGGAAAAATAATTCAACCATCAGAAACTGTTAAAATTTTGGGAGTTATTTTTAAAAATCATAGACAAAGGAATAAGATTAATTTTGGAACACATGTTGACAATATAATTATGAAAGCTACGAAACTTAAGAATATATTATTCTCATTATGTGCACGTACTTGGGGCATTGATACTCGACGTAGATTGATCTTATATAAAGCTATGATACGCTCTACAATAAGCTATGCATCAAATATTTGGTTTCCTTTTATCACTGCAGCAAAAAGATCCAAGTTGAATTCTATACAATATCAAATTCTTATTAGATGCATTCATGCTTATAGGACTTCATCTTCTTACATCACACATATACTAGCGAAAACCCCTTTACTGTTCGATTATCTTGAATTATTACAAACAAAGTATAATATGACAAATTCTCTCACAGATCGAACACTCAAAAAACCCCTTCAAAAAGAATTAAACAAACTATATCTGGATCTAAAATTTAAGTTTTATCTTTCTCAATCTAATGAACTGTTCAAGAAATTCTTTCCAATTGCTGTCCCAAATTTCATTTCTTCTGATAAATTCACTACTTTATTCTTAACTGGCAAAGGACCCTTCTTAAGTTTCTTATTCAAACTGAATGCTATCAATGATCCAACATGTGAATGCCGCTTAGATGTTGAATCACCAGAGCATCTTCTTTTATCTTGCCCTCTGACTAATCAAATTGTATGTAGATACTTTGAAACATTACCAAATTCTCTTTGTGTATATACTATATCTTATGAGAACTTTGTTAAGTTTAGAACTATTTGTACAATAATTTACAAAACAATACTAATCCATCGTGTAAATAATTAATCATATATATATATATATATATATAATACTAGCACAGCACAATAGTCCTTTGGACTTCGTGCTTTTGTAAAAATAAATGAATAAATATAAGTAGAGATAATATTTGATGATATTTAAAAGAAACGCATTGCCAGTAAATTTATTTGTGTAAAATTATGTATAAAGTAATTGTAATATGTATTCGCCGTAATAATATTATTCGCCAAGTAATAATAAAAACGTTTTAAGAAAAACACGAACTTTTGGGACAACCTGATATCAATAAAGGTATCACCAATTAATTGTAAAGGATGTTCACACATTTTCTGGTTGAAGAGCAGCTCGCGGTGCAGGTTGACCCGCTGGGAGGACTCGAGGCAGGGGTTGGGCAGTTTCTTCGGCATTACCAAGCCGTCGTCGGTGGTCATCTTGGGACTCCGCATCTTCCGAGGGTCTTCCTCCGAGTCGCTGTAGTCGGGCTCGGGGATCATGCCGCTCTTAGCTGTCGCACACACCACCATGTAGGATATGGGGACTTTCTATGGTAGCAAGTACTTCATATCTGCAGTTACAGGGTTGCTTCCATCATAGGAAACTAAGTTCGTTCCTTGCAAAATCTCCAAGAAAGAAAAACAAATCAAAATAATGTAGTATGAAAGCAATACTATTTAATGGCTTGGAATTTGTCTTTTCTACGTACCACGCTTCGTGGACCAATTAAAGAAACTCACTGGCTTAACGGTCGCGAGATGGTACATCGAGCTCAAGACAGAGATGTTTGGGATGTAATGCATACAAATGGCCACAACGTCCAATCGCGAATGATATTACAATGAAGAAAGAATTAATGTCAGTTTTTTTTACGAAATTAGCCCTGTGGAAATTGTTTTAGCATTTTTCTTTCATATTGACAGACTGAGGAGGAGCTATATGGACGGCTGAGCATAGAGTAACCATCTCATTGATATCATCACAAAGAGTTGAAACCAAACTGCGTACAGGGAGGGATATCCAAAACATGAAACAATATCTATAAAAACATAGGGCGCCTCCTGTCAAAACCAGACGCCATCTATTGACCGTCGCCGCAAACTAACGGCCTCAGGTCGGTGACAAAGCCACAACACCAGCTTTGGCAAACTGAGAAGCGTCCAGTATTTAATAGAATTCCAAAGAATAAAAGGACAGCTCTAGATCGTGCAACTGAAGGTAGATACTTTTTTTTAGACAATTAAAATAATTTTATTGACATCTTGTCAATATATGCAAAGTGCACAGTCTGCACTATTAAAAAAAAAAAGATAATATGCATTATATACACTATGTACAAAGAACATGGCGCCTCTGCCAGCGCTGCAGAGTTTGGTAGAGAATCGCCAGTGGATCTCCAGCGACACCACGCATTTCGCGATCTACGAAGAAAACGTAGATTGCGTACTTCGCCATTGAGGAGATGGTGATGGCGTGGTCCTCGAGACCAACTGGAAAGAACTGAAGGTAGATGGTTCACTGCCATCTATCTGAACAAATATCAACTGTCGATTTTTTACTCAGAGATTTGGTCAATTCCTCTTCCTTGAATTACCACGTCAACCACATTCCGTGCTGTTGTCGGCCCTCCAACATCTGCCTTTGGACAATTTGTAACCAGTGATTGCAACCACAGGACCGCGATACGTTGCCGATGTTAACAACACTCTCACATTACTATATTCACTACCTTTGGTGTAAAGAATATGGATGCATAATATTTTAAAATTACAAAATATTTTCTCACAATGAGTTTAATTTTATTTCAAAACGCTAGCTTTCAAGCGATAATCGCTCTTCAATGGGCTTAATAAAACATCGACTAAATCCTACAAGTCGATGTTTTATTAACCCGTTGAAGAGCGATTATCACTTGAAAGCTAGCATGTCCAGGGTAGCCTAGTGGACATGGCATCTGCCCGGTAAGCAGAACACTGTGGGTTCGATTCCCATCCTTGGACACTTGAAAGCTAGCGTTTTGAAATAAAAATAAACTCATTGTGAGAAAATATTTTGTAATTTTAAAACGTTTTTTACAATTTTATCATGAATTGATGCATAATGTTGACAATGTTCGAGGAAAAGATTTTGTTTCGTGTTTAACTATTTAATTTCAGAGAAGTTGAGCTATATTACCCTGTTACAAAAAGTGATGAAGTTCATGGTGATCCCTAACTCTCCCTTTAAAATTGAAAGTATTCCATTATTTCTTTATATATATTTCAACTGTCGCGCGATTGTTTAGCCATATGAAACTTCCTTAAGTTTTGTCCATGAGCGTTTATCCTTTAAGTCCTCATGCTACGTTGTATATATGTGAGATCCGGGGCGACTCCCGAAATCTTATTTACATAGGTTGATATTAGTAAATTAAATTTAATTGCCATCTATCGTTAAAACTTTACACAAATAAATTTACTGGCAATGTGTTTCTTTTAAATATCATCAAATATTATCTCTACAGAGCTTACTGCAATGATATGAGTTATTGAATGAGAGGGCTTGGCTCATCAGTAGTGAACCCTCTCAGCGGTTTCGCCAAATTAACCAAATAGGTTGATATATTGGATCAAAATATGATTTATTTTACCAATATTTCAGTTGACTGAACGCCAACCTTTATCAAGGTATTATAACATATTTAAGGTGTGTCAACAGCAAACTCAGCGCCACATAACGTCAACAGAATTTGTTGTTGACACACATTAATATTTAATTAAAAAGGCATATATTGGATCAAAATATGATTTATTTTACCAATATTTCAGTTGACTGAACGTCAACCTTTATCAAGGTATTATAACATATTGATGTGTGTCAACAACAAACTCAGCGCCACATAACGTCAACAGATTTTGTTGTTGACACACATTAATATGTTATAATATCTTGATAAAGGTTGGCGTTCAGCCAACTGAAATATTGGTAAAATAAATGATATTTTGATCTTATTATTATAAGAAATTTAAACTATTTTTGCGCGTATGATTATTTTTAAAACATAACAATATTCTTATGTCCATAGTTCATTTAAAATACCTTTTCCAAGTGATCAGCATGAGTATTGGTACAAAATCAAAACAGCACAATGCAATATTACAGGTATGGTAGATTAAACTGGCGAAGCCTTGGGAGTGTTCACCACTGATGAGCCAGGCCCTACCATCAGTGTATCATTGCAGTAAGAGCAATAGAAAATTGTTTTAACTCAAAAAGAATCATACGCGTTAAAAATATTTAAAAATCTCTTTTAAAAATTGGCACGCTAATGCATTATATTATAATTAGTCCACTTATCTATTGTAAATTAAATTTAATTGCCATCTATCGTTAAAATTTTACACAAATATAAATTTACTGGCAATGCGCTTCTTTTAAATATCATCAAATATTATCTCTACAGACCAAGCCCTCTCATTCAATAACTCATATCATTGCAGTAAGGTCTGTAGAGATAATATTTGATGATATTTAAAAGAAGCGCATTGCCAGTAAATTTATTTGTGTAAAATTTTAAATTATCTATTGTGTTTGTTTAATTTATACACATCATACATTTAAGCTTTATTATTATGTTTAGAATATCTCATGTGATGTTTGCCTCTCTCTGTCCCTGTATAACTTTATCAAAGCAGTAAGCAGAAAAAATAACTTAGAGTAATCGTTTTCTCCTCCACTCTATGATGGTGATTCATCATTGTGAGCATATCGTTACAAGCAGGCAACGAGAGAGGAGAATCTGTATAAGACTGGCGTGTCTTTATAAAAGCTTTGTGTGTGTAATATTTGCCTCTCTCTGTCCCTGTACAACTTTAACAAAGCAGTAAGTTTTCTCCTCCACTCTATGATGGTGATTGATCATTGTGAGCATATCGTTACAAGGAGGCAACGAGAGAGGAGAATCTGTATAAGACTGGTGTGTCTTTATAAAGGCTTTGTGTGTTCAATATTTGCCTCTCTCTGTCCCTGTATAACTTTATCAAAGCAGTAAGCAGAAAAAATAACTTAGAGTAATCGTTTTCTCCTCCACTCTATGATGGTGATTCATCATTGTGAGCATATCGTTACAAGCAGGCAACGAGAGAGGAGAATCTGTATAAGACTTGCGTGTCTTTATAAAAGCTTTGTGTGTGTGATATTTGCCTCTCTCTGTCCCTGTATAACTTTAACAAAGAATTAAGTTTTCTCCTCCACTCTATGATGGTGATTGATCATTGTGAGCATATCGTTACAAGGAGGCAACGAGAGAGGAGAATCTGTATAAGACTGGTGTGTCTTTATAAAGGCTTTGTGTGTTCAATATTTGCCTCTCTCTGTCCCTGTATAACTTTATCAAAGCAGTAAGCAGAAAAAATAACTTAGAGTAATCGTTTTCTCCTCCACTCTATGATGGTGATTGATCATTGTGGGGATATCTTTACAAGGAGGCAACGAGAGAGGAGAATCTGTATAAGACTGGTGTGTCTTTATAAAGGCTTTGTGTGTGTGATATTTGCCTCTTGGGTTGCCAGGGTAAATTCTATTGTCTAAAACCGCCAAAAATGGCCGCCATACAATCTACCAACTGTTGGATTGATGCTCAGTACATAAATTTCCGATATTAAAGATCTTAAATAAACTAGCTCAGGAGTGTTGACTCAGCTATTGCACGTAGCAACGGGGTTTCCCCACAACAATCTCCCAGAAAGCTACGGTCACCAGGGTAACACCTCAATTTAACGAGAGTTTCATGTGAAAACACGTCCGGGCCATTTTACCGGCTTTTGTATCGACTGTTCCCTGGCTGGTTTATTAGGTTTGTGCAGCTGTTTCCCCCATCTGTGCCGCTCGACCCGATACATTCCCTCCTGGAATAGACCCACCAACAGACACAATATCATGAAGGTGCATTAATTTCCTGCTATTGCGTCTAAGAATTATAGTTAAGAATAATAAGATAAGAATTACTATGTACTAAGTGCAATTTTCGACCTGCAGCCCCAAAACACATTATTGACTGTATTGACTCATCCATTGATGAGCTCTACTCTTCCCCGGCAGACACCATCAACAAGCTCTACTAGCTTGATACCCTAATATGATTGAGTGGAGATAAGAAAGAATAAGAAGAAGAGAATTTAACTTTTAAACTTATTTTTAAGGAGAGAAATTATAATCTATTGTATAGTAAAACCATTCTAAAATAGAGGTTTGCGTTCAAATTTTGGGTCGAAGAGATGGTTCAATAAGTTATCCGCCGAGAAAGAGAGAGATTGAAACTACTTTTTATTAGATCGTTCATATAAGGTTATATAAGGTTAAATGCGATATATACATTCTATATATTGTATTTAACCTTATATAGAATATAAGAATATCGTTTTTGAAAATAGAGCAATCCATAAATATATATTTAATTAAAAAGGCATATATTGGATCAGAATACAACAAAATACACTGCGTGACATTGAAAATGAAACACCAAGAAATAGTGGCCAGAAAATTATGCAAATTTCAGGGTAGACGCGCCTAACCGAGTTATGCAAATGATGTAAAATGCGCAACTCTCGTGCGCACATGGAGTAAGATATAAGGGAAGGAACTTGCAGAAAGGACAGTATTCGTGTCGTTATTTCTTCAAGGAAAATCATTGTAGAAATTTTGTTCTTGTGTCAAAAGACACGTGTAATAACAGAGAATGCCAGGTCATCGTAAACTGAGGCAGTTCAAGCAGACAGACACTTTTACGAGGGGCATGGTATATATATTGCGTATGATATTGTTTTTTACAGCACAATACAACAATGTTGGCAAGTTTCTCTAGAGTGGAATGTCGAGGTGACGAATCCACTCCAGGGCCTCCTCTGTGCACCGGTGGATATCCCCAAGTGTTCCCTGGAAGAATCTTCCGATTCATTAGTGCTGTAAAGACCAGGATATCCTAAAGGATATTTGGTTATCAGTTGGTGATATCTGTCGATCAAAAGATCTAGCCCGAGGGCGCATGCCGGCCATCACCTTCCTCGGAAGAAGCCGCTCCTAACATGGAGGACAGACGCTTCATCAGCCGTTCCTAACATGGATGCAGACATCCATGTTAGGAACGGCTGATGAAGCGTCTGTCCTGGGCAGGTTGGTCCATACGTCAAATCGCAGCTGATACACACCTTGGTGCGTCCACGGTGCACCGACTGTGGAGAAGATGGTTGGAACAAGGAAATGTGGCAATTTATAGGAATGTCAGTGCAACCAGAGTGACGTCAGCACGTGTGGATCGGCGTATCCTTCGACAAGCAGTGGCGGCCCCACAAGCCACTTGTACCGCCATCCTGCAACACGTGCAAGACACCCTAGATCATTCCATCTCGACCAGAACCATTTCCCCTCGATTGGTTGCTAATGGCTTGCACTCATGCCGTCCGCTAAGAAGACTGCCATTGACCCCACCGAATAGGCGCCAACGTTTGGAATGGTGCCGGGCTAGATCGACGTGGATGACGGAATGGCACAGGGTCGTGTTCTCAGATGAGTCGCGTTTCTGCTTGTCCAATGATAGTCGCCGTGTACGCGTTGGCGTCGACGTGGAGAAAGGTCCAATCCGGCAGCAATTGTGGAACGCCCCACCGTGCGACAACGTGGAATCGTGGTTTGGGGCGCAATCGCGTATGATTCCAGGTCACCTTTACTTCGTATTAAGGGCACTATGACGGCCCAACGATACGTTGATGATGTGCTGCGACCGGTGACACTCCCCTACCTTCAGGGGGTACCCAATGCCCTTTATCAGCAGGATAACGCCCGACCGCACACTGCTCGCATTAGCCAACAAGCTCTGCAAGATGTACAGATGCTTCCCTGGCCACCGTACTCTCCTGATCTCTCACCAATCGAGCACGTCTGGGACATCATTGGACGCCGTTTGCATGCCTTGCCACAGCCGCGTTCAGAAGACGAACTGTGGCAAATGGTTGAGAGGGAATGG